TGGTTTGTTCATTTCTATGCAAAGACCAGAGATGTACAGTCGAAACTTTGTGTGATAGATATTAGAGTTTTTACTTGCTCAATATTTACGTTTAACAACACAAAGAAAAATACGCTGATCTTTGTATTTCAAAATTTCGTCTATGGTCCTGCTACATCCATTGCCACTTGTTCGTTTGTCATTAGCGTCGCCAAATTGAAAGATTCGGCTCCCTCTTGTTCTTCCTTTTCTTTCCTCGTTGTGCTTTCTTTGTTCCCCTCTTGGTTCCTGCATGTGCTGTCGATTCAAAAATTATATTTTACAACTGGAGATAAATGACCTATACATGTTTCTCATTAATTATGACTATAATACCGCCATTTCCATGACATGAGTTTGTTAACAATACCTTCAACCTAATTACAGACGTAACAAAGAAATCTATTCTTAGATAAAGCAAATGGTGTCCTTATCTTAATGTTAAACGTAATGATGTTCACCTATTAAATGGATCAAGTATAAAAACTCCGGCAGTTATAAATGCCCGGCAGCTATGAAATCAACTATGAATAAAGAGTTTTTATCGACATAATTAATATCTATTTGTTTTTAATGACATAAACGAAATGTGCAAAACTTTCGTATAAATGTTAAATTTGTTTTTTTTTCAACGTCTTGTAAAATTCTCGATACCAACCTTTGTTATAGGCATGTTTCCCTAATCCCTTGTGCAACTTGGTCCTTTTAGCCCCCATCATTGTACCTAGAAGAAAATTATAAGAACTAGAATCAATGACATGCCCATGCATAATGTCAGGTAAAATAATAATACGATGTGAGAAATCTGTCGTTTTCTGCAGTTGTAAGTTCCGATTCTTTGTTTAGTCTTTTCTTTGTTTTATTTGCACGGCACACAGATACATTGATGCCGGTATAATTAGATGTTAGTCCCTGATGAGATATACCAGAGTAACTTCTGGTGTTGCGCCACCTTGCGACAGTCACTGGCCCTGCAAAGAGCAATGCTGTGTTTACTTCCTACTTACCTGGTGTTTTGCAGACGTCTTGTTCCTCAAATGGGTGAAGAATGACCGGTGGTGGCTCCCGCTTGGTGATGAGTTGCTTGAAAAAAAGGATTAAAAGGTCTTAATGAGAGTTTTATTGAAAACCCATGCCCGAAGACGAAATGGAAGTTACAAACATAAAAGAACTCTAAAACAGAGTATGAAATAAATTCAAAATGTACATAACGAAATCTAATTGTCTAAAACTATTGATACGTCAAAAACTACTGTATGTCTGAAGGGTTTAACTTGTCTTTTGTAAACCATGGAAGACGTAATGTCCCAGCTTTTCTAAAATTTGTGGGTTTCGGGAAATTAAAAGAAGAATAGTTTTTTGTTTGTAAATTGGTCTAAGTTTTAGTGGTTTTAATAGTGAAGTCATTTCGAGCGTTGTCACGTTGCGAACGGCGGTTTTCTACAGACTTCGATGTCTCCCTATAATTAAGGCGTAAAATATGTGAAATCTGCAAATGGACCACTTGATATCTACAAAAGCGATGACAACAGGAGATAACAAAACGCGCTTGCCAGATCAATCAGTCCTAGATTTTCATGAAAGTCCACCTGTGTTGGTAGTAATTATAGAAAAACCTTGAACTTTATTCCAACACCCAAGTCACATAGTGATAAAATTTTCAGCGGCCACTGTCGCATTCATCAGGATAATTAATGACCGTCAAGTACATGTATCAGTAAACTCTCGTGTGAATAAGGTCACGTGTTTGTAAACCGTAACTCTCGCGAGACCACGCTGTGAAGTGATTGGTCATTAATTATCCTGATGAAGGCGACAGTGGTCGCGGAAAATTTGATCTCTCTGTAAATTGGGTGTTAAAATATAGTTCAACGTTTTACTACAGATCAGTCTTACCTGATGATATGCCTCAACGCTAGTGTCTTTCTTCATACAGGTAACAGACGTGTTTCCGGTTCTCTGTTGTGTCTGAAAAACAAGGTGCAAGAGAAAAAACTAAGGAGTACTATTTTAAAATATTAAAAGCATTTTTGTCGCTAAAAAGAATAACGATTTTTTTCAATGGATAAAAATCTTAGCAGCAATGATCAAAACAGATGGAAACGGACTGTTGAAATGTGTATCATTTTGTTGTTCTTACCTGGAACGTCTGCCTGGTATTTTCATCCCAGTCGATAGAGTGCAGTAGTTTTTGTATGGTCTTGCCTGCCATATGACGAGGTTGGATGGGTACATAGTCGTTTTCGGCAGCGCTGTTAAATATTTTCATTAAAGCAGAATGAAGTTGATTTGAAACAGTTTCTCTAAAGAAAAAAATTACCAGAGATACCTTTCTGATTGTGTCTTAATTATTATATCATTTCTATTTCTAGCTCTAGGTGAGAGAACTTTTGTGTTGGACAAAACGTTTTAACTTTGAACATGTAACTACCAACACATATGAAGTTTCATGATAGTATAATATGATCATATAACGCACCTGAAGGTAACTTCTGTGGCCCCGAGCGCCGTCAGGTAAGACGCCTTGTGTGGGTTACTCTTGCACCGTCTTAGCTTCATGTTCGGGTAGTGAAGTATGTGACCAAAACACATCTCTTCTTCCGTACTCAGGCCTCCCTATTGGCAAGTATTTCAAGAGTAAATTGGTCAATATTTCCATAAAGTATTAAACTAAGGCCAGACCTATTTAATTTGTTGGTTCTCGGATTTAATTTTTTCAGAAAAAAAATGAAGCGACAGGGAAAAAAAAATAAAAAAAACAGGTCTAGACATCCTATTATAACCACAAATGCTACGAAATGAGCCACGAAGTCAATTTAAAAGGCTGGGTTTAAAACAATAAATTTTGAACTTTTAATTAAACCAGTGCATTGATGGGTGGAAAAACTGTAACAAAGGGACTTTCCTTAACTTTTGGGGATAGAATATAAGCATTATTGAGTTCATTCAGAACCTGAATCTTTTTTTTTCAAATCAGAAAAAAATGAAGAGGCAAATCCAAGAACCAACAAATGAAATTGGTCCGGCCTAATGACAATGAGATACGGCAGTCACCTTAAACCAACGACTTAAAAAAAATCATTACGGACAACTTCCACAATATCATACCTTCTGCAGCTGAAGCTAATGTTTTCGACTAACGAATTACGAATAATTCTTGTTGATTCTAAAAATAGGATTCTGGCCAAGTTAAAATTAGCGATATCTTATGAAAAGTTTAGCAACAATCAAGTATTCTCTGTGACCCCAGGGATTTAAGTGTAATGCAAGCAGCCATCGCAATGGATGTACATAAGTGAAAACAGTAGTATTCTGTAAGTAGATTTGATTTGATACGTGTAAAACTCACATATGTAACCTTTCTCCTGTCAGTGGTATTGTACGTACACTCTACTATTAGGTAGTCGCCCTGAAACAGAAAAAAAGATTTGATTTGATTTGATTTATTAGACTGTAAAAACAGATATATAAAGCCAGGACTGCCCAACAAGCCAGAGGCTATTATAAAGGGCTAGCCCTTACAACAAGAACATAAACAATTCGGAACAGGTAACAGTTAACAGTGTCGGTTACACTTCAGGTAAACATACTTTTACATTACAGATGTTGAGGTCTACCTTTAACAAGCTATGAGATCTGGCCTAGTCGTCATGCGTTTACTGTAAATGCATTCTGTACAATGGTTAACTGCAAGTTTTGCCCCTTAATTTTGTTTTAAAGTCATTAGTTTTGGTTTATCAATTATAGGAAGCTTCTTATCTAAAACCATTTCTTTTTCTTATTGGTCTTTAATCTGCGCCGTGTATTGATTGATTTTTACAAAAAATATTATCCCCTCTCAATTGGTGAAAAGCAACAAAAATCTCAAACAAAAAGTTACAGCATTGATTCCCCATTGAAATTCCCGTCTAACCGAGCTGGTAAGAACTAACTCAAACCTAGGCACATACATGCAAGGTATGATTATAATTCATTTCATATTACTCAATCCTAGTTTAGTTCATATAACCCAATAATTATACCAAAGAAACATAATTTCACCTCGCAGACATTAGTAATTTTTTTTTACATATTGACCATAAGATCGTAACTGTTTATTAAGCCCTGGATTGTTTTGGGGTTTAAAAACATACCTTTAAAACTTCTACTTCCTTCTGTAGACTGACAGTCTGTTGAAAGTTGAAGTCGAAGTTTCCATCGTTCCTTATCCACGGCAGTTCCACTCCGTTCCGCACGTGGCGCATCTTCATCTTCCTTCCCGCCAGGTGAGTGTGGAAATGGACGCCAATCACGTGGATCTTCTCTATGGACTCTTCCTCCATGGCCTGTGGAAGACATTTCCACAAGTAGTGTCCGTGGTTACATGCTAGATACGTACACATAGCATCACACTTTCTTCTTTAGATAGCTAAGGAGAGAAAACAGTATGTACCATTTTTGAGGCTTTGGTAAGACCTTTTCTGTAAAGGATAATGCACGTGGTACAAGTCCTATAAAACTGAGAAACGTTACCTTCTCCAGACAGTCAGGATAACAAGTTCCGGCTGTAACAAAGGCCTGACTCCCAGGCGGGATGATGAGTGTCCGTGCCACCTCCATGCCGAGCTGCATGTAGCCCAGGTCGTGCTGCCGCAGCTCTGAGGTGTACAGGACCCGGAGACCAGACCTGTCCACTATTCCTGTGTACAAAAATGGTTAAAAATGACACCAAAAGAAGTCTGTAAAAACATACAAATATCAGAGGTGTACACACAAAAATAGTCACTGGAAGTTTGTTCCAATCAAGATGACTGAGAAATTGAGCTTGTCTGGCCTTCTTAAGGTGGATTTTTGGAGACTCTCTACCAAGCTTCCCAATTGCCCACTTCGGGCATCTCTATTTGCATCTCTATGTTTTATTTTTGCAGGTCTGTGTTTTTTCCTGAGCTGACATCACTGGGTGACATCAGCTCAGGAAAAACTACGGATAGGCAGAAACAAGATGTCTGCCAGGACTGGCTTGTGCTAATTTTCCAAGGTAGGGCGTTAGAACTTCGAATGTAACACGAGAACCGTGCATATTTATTATCATAAATGTGTCTGTTTACCACGTAATACTAGTTATGTTAAGTACAATATGTTAAGGTCATATTTTTGTGTCATGAGCACTTAAAAGGTGGGACATAATGCATGTCGCGGCTTATAGCACTGAAAAGCTAAACCTACCAGACATAGTTTGAAAAGCAACTAACATGTTTCTAGAATTTAATATTTTGTACGTTGTTTCATCACTCCCATCTCTTTGTTAGCTGTAATAACCTTTCGGGGCATGCACTGACAAAAAGACATAAGTCAGGAAATATGCCTACTGTGCTATGTTAGACAACCGATTTAATATTATTAAAAACGTACACAAATGAAACAATATCACACTGTGTGTTGAAGCCTGGCTTAAAAACGTACGGGTATATTTGCATACAGTAACAGTTACGTACAATTAACGTATAACAAGGCCATAATATAGAGAGTGTCCTTGCTTACAGCGACTACCTTTTTAAAGTTTAACGTCATCATGAAAGTTCATCTGTGTTGGTAGTAATCATAGTAAAAACGTTGAACTTTATTCCAACACACAATTTACACGGATCAAATTTTCAGCGACCACTGAAAGCCTTTATCAGGATAATTAATGACCAATCACTTCACAACATATCAGAGCACTTTAGCCTTCACTTAATAGAGATGGTGGACAATATAAACACCCTGCCACTTTTAAGCAATTGCTTACGTCGCGTAAAGTATCGTGTGAATAAGGTCACGTGTTTGTAAACAAAAACTCTCGCGAGATCACGCTTTTAAGTGATTGGTCATTAATTATCCTAAAGAAGGTGACAGTGGTCGCTAAAAATTTGATCTCTGTAAATTGCGTGTTGGAAAAAGTTCAACGTTTTTACTAAAGTTTAACGTTGTTTATCTTTTAGGACTTTATAGAGACGAGATAATATAGAGAATGTCCTTGCTTATATTTTATTCTATTTCAAACGTTGTATATCTGTTAGGACTATATCACACTAACCAGTCTTATGCTGCGGGTTGTTGTAGTGTGTCTCCATAAGAAAGAATGTTGGATCGTCAGGACCGCCTACGGACAGACCGGCCTTTTCTGGGTAGTAAATGCCCTGTATGATTTGAAACAAAATGCACGCCATTGATTTGATTATAATATATTATTATGTAGTTAAGTAAAGTCATAAAAGGGGTGGACACAAAAAGTGTCAAATCGTTAAACATCTTGGGGAGTCTGCGGAGGATTTCATCCATAAAATTTACTTGCTCTAGCCTTAGTAACACTACTGACCTCTCCACCTACTTCCCAGGCTACCAGTCTGATCTTACAGGAATGCCAGTCTTCCGGGAAGTCGCGGCTGTGACGCGCGTGCTGGACACCATCATACATGTCTGGATCCACGTCCTTCAGACAGGTGTACAGGTCCATGTGATGGATCATACCTTCGTGACCTGGCTGTAGAACTGGTTCAAACTGGAACATGGCGCATGTGTTATCCAATCCAGTGTTTAGTTAAAATTTGTATGACATTGACATTTCCAAGCACATTTTAGTAATCTCAAACTTTAAGCGTTTGAAATAGCCTATTCACGAGTTTCACATCCCAAGAATGCATTGCGAAAACAGTGGTCTAAACCTCATTTGCATAATAGGACAGAAAGGCACCAGAACTATCTTGTTGACGTTAAACAGCTTGTTTTTTCTGTGCTTTGAGCTGTCGGGGCATTTTATGCTCAACGCTAATTAAGTTACTATGGGTCGAATCGGACATTAAATGCCCCAACACCTGTTTTCGCAATGTATTCTGGTGATGGGAAAAACGTGAATACAGGTTATGTAAGGAGTCCCTTTATTTTTGGAATGCCATAAAAAAATTGGAACCAGCGTACAATAATAAGGAACAACCTTTTTTTCGTAAAAAAAAAATTGGGGAAGGACAGAATTAGTTTATTAAAAAAATGACTTTAGAAATCCAGTTTTGCAACCCTAAAATGTCATTAAATGCCCTTAATAATATAATAATAACTTATCACTAGGATCCTATAAAAATCACTACATAATAATGCAATACCTATTTACATGTAGCTAGAATTTATATACGTTTTGCCTGATTTTGACCAATGTTAGGTCTAGTCTTTAACGAGTGGAGAATGTGGAACATACCGCTATGATGTGTCTTTTTCCTCCGAAGTCTGGAACCTTGAATCCGCGGTACCAGTAGACCGTCTGTTTCTTCATTACGCTATACTGTAGAGGGGATACCAATTATAATTTACAGTAACACACTGGATTTTTACGCTAGTATCCTTATTAATTTTTTTATATTATTACAATTGTAAATAATGAATGATATTTTATAGCAGTGTATTGTATTGCATTTTTATGACTATTGTATTGTACATTATTGTAGGAATTTGTATTTTATGTCAACAATTGTTCGACATTGTAATTTGTATTGTACTGTATTTATATTATTGTTTTTGGGAGGACAACTTGTAAAGGTGTCAATACACCTGTTTTGTCCTCCCTTCCACTTGTATGTTTGTACATGTGGTGAATTCTCATAAACAAATAAATAAACAGTCCTGACAAATGGTAACTACTTGGTAACACTAGACATAACTGGTAGACATAACCACACTCCCCTAGAACAACGAATATGTTAGTACTGTGATCTGGGAAGAATTGAAGATGAGAAACATTTTGTAACAGAATGTAAACTATACAACAAAGAGAGGGTAGAACTTGATATAATCTGATACAATCTATGTTCCTCTTCGTCATACATCTAAGCTGTAAAGATTTATATTTTTAATGAGCTTACTAATAGACAAACCTTCTATATTGAAACATACCTGTTCTTACCTTTTTGTCATTTACAAAAAAACAAGAAACCGAATTTACTTAATTTACCTAATTGTAGTTACTTGATGATGTATATATGTAACTTTATCTGTATGCCATACTTTTGCTGTGACCTGTACTTAACCCATTGGGTATATGTGTACAATGAAGGTATTCATTTATTCATTCATTCATTCATTCATTCATTCATTCATTCATTCATTCATTCATTCATTCATTCATTCATTCGATACTGCCCTAGCCGCCACCAAAAGATCAACTTTTGATCTCACAAATCCAAACACATGTGTATAACTCATTACAACTAACCGTGTTGAGTAAGTCAATGGTTTGCACATCGTCTGGCATCTCCCTGTTCTGCGGGACGTCCAGCAGCATGAGGCTGCGGGCTCCCCGGGTCTCTCCGTGGTACATCAGCGCCGTGTCGTGCTGAGGGTCCTGGTTATGGTACGCCCAGATAACACGGGTGGTACCAGCCTACAAAACAGCATAACTATAAAGGTAAGAATTGCTCTTGGTACGCCAGGATAACACGGGTAGTATACGTATCAACCTACAAACCATTAGTACCAGCCTACAAAAATATAACTATAAAAGTAAGATTTGCTCACGGTACGCCAAGATAACACGGGTAGTACCGGCCTACAAAACATCATAACTATAAAGATAAGATTTGCTCATGGTACGCCCAGATAACACGGATAGTACCAGCCTACAAAACATAACTATGAAGGTAAAGATTTGCTCATGGTACACCCAGATAACACGGATAGTACCAGCCTACAAAAAATAACTATGAAGGTAAAGATTTGCTCATGGTACGCCCAGATAACACGGATAGTACCGGCATACAAAATATCTTGACTAAAAAGGTTAGATTTGGGCAAGGAGACAGAAGAAGCTTAAGGTGTGGCTCTGATGGAAGATGTGGTTGCTGATTGGCTGTTGATATAATGGGAACGATGGAAGAGTTCATTTTTTATTAGGGGACGTCAAATTCTAAAGGATCTGTTTTAAACTTTGATGAATGGGGAAATAACTCCCTTTGGGTAGAGGAAGGTTCTTCTTTTGCACAGGTGTTAGTTTTGAACAGTCTACAGGGAGATGGACTGAACTGTTGTATTTTGTCCTGAACAAATGTTGGCCTTTTTTTAGTTTCGCCTATGTATATAATCATGTATACAATCAACAATCATGTTTACTAATATTTTACACTCCGATAGGTTTCGAACCGCATATTATTACTTAAAATATAAATCAAAACTAGGTTTCAGAACAAACCACCAGTATACTATAGCTACTGTGGCAGAGAGTTCCACTCTACGTTGGTGCTAGGAAAGAAATACGAGTTGTTAAACACTTCAATTCTTGGTTAATAACTTGATTTCTACTAAGTTTGAGGGCATGACTATTTCTTCAGAGCTGGTATTAGATATTTGTTTTTAATATTCCAATATGTAATCTCAAGACGTGGTGACGGCACACTCATTTTTTTCTTCCAACTGATATTAATGCCACCACCAACACAGGGGACAATACAATACTCACTTTCACCTGAGCGAAGTGAGGAAAATCGTGTTGAATGCATTTCCCAAGGGCACAAGATCGGTGGCATGTCAGGAAACGAACCCGGGACCTACTGATTCCGAGTCGAGCACTCTGCCGCTACGCCTCACGACCCCACACAATTAGATATAGTAGTTAGTATTTAGAATATCCAATTGAAATGATACGTTACCTTAATAGTCCTGTCAGTGCTGTCACAAAGAACGAGGTTCCTGGAGAACTGTAGGAATGTGTGTGTTCCGTTCTCTCCTGATGCTTCTAACCTCCAGTCCTGACTGGCGTCAATAGTCGGCGTTGTTCTTGCACTAGCATATCTGTCCTGTTTATCAAAAGGGAGATTTTTTCAACTCATGCACGGAATAAAATTTGTGTTAATTGTGCACATCATTTACATGACACGAGTGCATGTATACATAATTTTATGGTTGTATATGTGATATACCAAGTACTGATTTTATATCAATAGAAGTTTTAGCAGTGTACTGGTAGTTCTTGTTGATGCCCTTCTTAGGTGACCCCATAAGTAGTTTAAAGCAATGAATGCAGAAACAATTTAATGTATTTCCCGGTGTTCGACTTAAATGATGTTTTAAAACGTTGTCAACATGAACTCTAAACCGAATTACGCAAGATCTAAAGAAAAGCTGTAATACTATAAAAGGTCATCTGTGTTGTTAGAACCAATAGTTACAAAATTTAAGCCTGAGTTTAAATTTTCACAAAAAGAAGCACACAAAAAACGTTGGGCAAGGTTCGCTTTTTGGGTACGGAGCAGGACTGCTCTGTGAGGGGTGTGAAGGAGGCAGTTCACATTAGGGTTCATCAGCCCTTTCTTAACCGTGACGGTGGTAGAATCAGTCTTCCCGCCACATTTATATACTCCAGACGTCATCACGCTTCTGACTTCCCGAGAGTCAGCGAGTGCATCAATAAATTTGACGAAGGTCGACGTGTTCGACCGAAAGCTCATGGTCAGTCTGTCTTTTTCGTGTTGGAACAAAGCTTTTTTTAACGGAGTAGTCTGCGACCACTTCTCGGCATTGATCTAGAAAGATGAGAGAATCATGGTATGACAGAAGATGGCGGTGAACGTTTAATTTGAAAGCCTGTAGATTGTAGGTTGGTGGGGCACACTTGTCAGGGAGGGAATTCCAAAGCTTGGCCGTACGGGGATAGCAAATATCACTGTAAAATGATTTCAAATAAGGAATTTGGACGGTGAAGTTATGTGAGCTAGTGGAGAACCTAGTGGAACGCTTAGACGTTCTGAGTCGTGGAACTAGTTGGGTGAGTTCTGCAGAGCAATGACCATGAAAATATCTATAAAAGAGGGATAGAGAGGCAACATTTCGTTGAAAGGGGGTCTAACTTGGAGGCCAGAGGATATCCTATGGTCACGCAAATTCTCTTGGAATTTGTAACTAGAATGATATATTTAGGAAAAGAATGCTTACATAGCAGAAAGTGTCTCCGTGGTCTGTTACGAACCCGGTGACGATGTCGGATCCAATCATGTCTCCGTTAGGTGAAATGCCGAACCCCACATACCCCAGGGTGGCCACCGAGGCACGGAACGTGATGGTGTCTGCATCCAACCGCCACTGCAGGAATGAAAATTCATTATGTAACATTTTGCACTAAAATGTACATAGTGTCACCAAGTTTTTGTCATCTAGTATCTGTCATCGAGCAATGTTCAGAATTTGTAGTTGAAATAGCCGACGGAGCTGGCTGTACCGATATCACTCTACTATTTTGAATGGCAACGATTTTGAAAATAGCGTAGAGCCACCAGCTTCACGAGTTGATTGCCATCTAAACTCCATTTTCTCTAGAAAAGTTAGAGAGTGGAACCGTCTAACAAAAAAGTATTGTTAAAGCCAAGACATTAGGGGCCTTCAAGCATGCCATTATGATGATTTCTAAATGATGATGTTTTTAATCTACGTATTGTAATGATGTTTGTATGTTGATAATTGTAAAATGTCAATGCAATTCAGACCGAAGCGCTTCGGCACGTCTGCCATGTTGATATTTGATAAAGATTTGATTAGCACCATGTAGTTTTTAACAACAATTACGGGTACTCACCGTCACCCTGCTTTCGGTGGCAGACAGGGAGTGGCGCCCCTGCCCATTAAGGAGCTGCAGACCACAACATACACACACAAAACTTGTACGAGCGACCACCCCATCCAATACCCCCACCCCCACCGTGCTGGAGCCCTCAACCAACTAAGGTTTGCACGTACTGGGAAGAAGAAGAAGACGACGTGGGAGATCTATAAAACACACATCACAAGCAGGCAACGCACCTGTAAGAAATACTTCTCACGAGCGGGGTCCAAGTAAGCACTGTGGGTGAATTTCCCCTCCAGACAGGTAGCTAACGTCACCGTCACAGCCGCAACTATCCACACTCTGGCCCAGAACGACGCCATAGCTGGTGTTGTGGATAGGCTAAAGAGAGAGAGACTGTCGGCAGGTTAGTACAGGAACGTACCATCCGCTAACCACTCATGTGATCACTGCTGCACGTGCTGTTTTACATTAAAATCAAGGCCGCAGTACACAGTATTAATGGGCGACCATGAGGGGGGGGGGGGGGTCTATGACGCGCGGGTACAGAAAGTAGTGCAGACAAACCTCTTGAATCCTGGCTTGAGCGACTTGAGTAAACTGCGCTGTGTGGTATAAAAAGGTATGGGCTTGTACACCGTATGATTTGGATTTCCCTGTTCGTGTATGAATGCGCGGCATTACGCAACTAAGTAAGGCTACATTTGCTCTTATTTAGAAGAATGACGTGGCATGAGGCGATGCAATAGCTTTTTGTTTTTATAGGGCATATTCACTACAGATTGTCACGTGACTCTTCCCCCCCCCCCCGGCAACAAGCATTGTCCGCCATTTGGGGGTGCAGCACGGTGCCTATCGCTATGGTACGCTATGCAAACTCTTGGCGATAGTTGCGTATTTTGGGCCACAATCTACGTTTTGAACACTCTTCTTGTTCGTAACATTGTCCTTGGGGTTGTTCTGGCTCCATGACCACGTCTCATGTTCTCAAGATCGGCTTTTATCTTTTTTTTGCTGATCAGAAATCGGTGTGTTTTACCCTGGCGTAGGGGGCTGTAGATGTCAACGTGGGTAGCCATGGACACGTTAAATCCGTTGGAGCTACCTCTCCCTCTAATCTGTGGTAAATGTCTATGTAGACCAGGGCGCTAGAAACTTGTAACACTCAACTTGTCTAGCCACAGTCGCGGCAGTGCCGACTGAGGATGGCGGCCGGCGGCCGATGGCCCCGCATTTGTTATTATCTTTCCTGCGTCGTGATTGGCTAATCCATATACCCTACCAATATAAGGAGAAGGCGGGCTGATTACTGCGCAGAAGCGATAGACTCATCCCCACAGCCGGACGCTCGGCTCGGCGCTCCGTCAGCAGGCGGGAGAAAAACCGTGCAAGACAGACTGCCAGCCTTCCAGTGGTACTCCCCGGGCTCCGGGGGCGAGCGAAAGCTCGGGGAGTGAGAAGGTGGACGGTTAATGTGCATTTGGAGGTTTCCTTTGTTTTTTGTTGGTGAATTTTGGAGTTAGAATGGATTTGGAATTGTTGGCAAGTTCGCACATGTGTATGAGAGTTGTCTGTCGTTGCACGTGCATTGCCTCTCTATGGCGGGGTATACCAGTCAAAAGCCAAATACAGCGTATTTGAGTGAAAAACAGTGTATTTGACCTGAAATACACTGTATTTGGTAAACCGGCCGTATTTCACCCTGATACACGTGTATTTGGGTGAAATACAGCATAACCAAATACGGTGTTCTCGCTAATACGGCGTATTTGGGGACCCGGCCGTATTTCACCCTGACACACCCTGATACAGTGTATATGGAAACTGCAACGTATTTCAAATAGTACAGCGTGCAGTACCACTATACATCGCAAGCTGTGCTAATGTACCAGTCCCAGGCAGAGCTGGAAATCTAAGATGGGGGTTAAAATTTGAAATTTTAACCCTTTGAAACGCAATTTCCGACACGAAGTTTTGAGTCCTTTATAGCTATTGGAGTACATCGCGTCCTGTTCATAACAGATATCAGCCAGGGCGACACATTTAATAACAGCACTGTTTTTTTAACGGCGTATTGGATATCATTTGTCTCGCAAATGGATACTGTCTGTGCTCTCTAAGCAGAGGTTCTGGTTTATTTTTGGGTTGTAGCGGTGTGTGGTAGTATGTATTGGTACTTGACCTGTCTAGTGAAGGTGAAGCATTGTTTGTTTCGGAAACATTGTCGCGCGCCCCGGCATAATATGAACCACCGGATAATTGAGATCCTAGCCGACTATCTAGGTGTTTCTTCCGTCTAACACGAGCGCTTAAAGGTCATGACAGGCTGTTGTCTTCTCGTCAAACCAAGATGGTGGCGAGAACAACATAATAACCGAGATACACGTTTACGCAACACGGAAAAGAAATCAAACCCTACAATAACTACAAATGTATATCTAAAGTAGCATTAGCATTACCATGGCATTACTTATTATCATTTTACTGTTCATTGTTGTTATCATGTTCTTGCGATT